TCCCGTTGCTGGAACCTACCCTCACTGCTGTAGCCCATCTTGTGCCAACACTGGCTCAGTATGGGGCCACCTTTCGAGGTCCCATGTAGCCTAAAATACCCTGTGATTCTGTTTGTTTGATATACAACTCCATGCAAGATTTTCTCTCTCCACCCTCAAGTTGTATTTAGCTTAATTACAACCCTAGGCATTTTGGGATATTTATTTTAAGCCAACATTCTCATTTGGATGGCATATGATTTTTTTTTTTTTTTTTCAGATTCATTGGAGCTACTTTCTGAGAGTACGGTTTTGAGGGACTTACTGTACTTAGCAATTTTCTGTTTATTTGTATACTTAGTCATTCCTATCACAGTACTTCTCCTTGATGTCTTTTAAGTATTTTCAAGCACTTAATTCTGTTCAAATAATCCTTCATAAATTTTTTGCCCCATATGGAATTTCGCATTGTAACAGCAAGTTAATTAATTTTATATTGAATAGCAGAATGGTGTTATAATAAGTAAGTCCAATGTGTGGAAAGGCATTCATGCTAGACCTTGACTGCATTTGAAATGGCCGTTGGTTTTGAGGCTTTTTACACTAGGAAATTCCGTCCATTCTGGTAAGAAAGATTTAGCAGCTGCAGATGAAAGTTTCTTGTATGAAATTAAATTCAGAAAACTAGAATTTCTTAAGGTGTCTCCTTTAACTGTTTAAATAACTTTTCCCTTAAGCCCTCCTACCTATGAAATCTCTTTATTTCAGATAAAGCTGGGGTTATGAATAAATTAGTCCTTATGTCGCTGTTGGGTGGATTGTGTACTGTGGGTTATCCTAAACTCATCCTGCCTGCCAGTCAGATTACCATGATGTAAAAAACTGAGTTTACATTACAAAACTGTAATCCCCTCATGTACACATTCTTTTTACCTTACAGTCAATATGGGGTTAATGATCTCTTGGTTGATTCAGAGTTGCAGGTGACGAGTGAATGTTTAAAAGAGGAGTCTTGTTTGCTAACACATTTATTGAAGAGTGGACTCAGCACGACATAGGTGGCAAAACATGAATGTGAGTGTGGAAGACAAGTTTGTCCTGCTCTATAGGTTCCAAAACGCTTTCCATTTTATGTCTGCTATGTTATTACATTTGGAATTGAGCAGTAAATTCTGAGTATTTTTGCATTCTAATCTGTTCTGTTTTGGCGGGGGCCTTGGAGGGAGGGCTTTATCTGGGGTTTTCTTTCTTTTTGATTTGTGTTTCTCTTTGATAAACATAGCTGACAAGAACTTTTGGTCTCTTTTTTGTGTTATTGTTTGCATAGATTACAAAGGAAAGTGTTGAAAAGGTTCTGCTCTTGTATTTTGAGAGTGATGATCTTGCCAAAGTTATTAAAGTAGGGTTAGGTTGTTGCACTATGTTCTCCAGAAGGCTAACCCTTGAAACCTAACTGAAAACTGGATGAAGAGCGGACTTATTTTTTGTCAAGGCACAGCATCAGTGGTCTGTGATGTGCACTAACTAGCAGTTGATTTCAGGATGAAATTTGAGATGTTATTTTGATTTAGCAAGCTCTGTGTTGTCGGGATACTCTTTTCCCCAAAAGATTTCTTCCTCACCTCCTAGAGGTGAGGTACTAGAGTTTAATTATTACCAGCTTTCACTTCCATTGTATAAATGGAAAGGGGTGGCAGGTTGTTATTTCTGGGGAAGATGGGGCTAGGAGTATTTTAGTGTGCATCCCACTGTGGTTCACAAGAGCCTGAATGTGATGACTCTACAAGGCCAGTTTGCAAAACCTTGCTCAAGTGGTATCCGAGTGGCACTGATTTTGGGGGTGGGAAGCCAGCAAGGCCATCTTTAGATTCATTTTGCTTTGCGAAGGTCTGCGTTAACAGATTTACAGTGCTTTTTCAATGTAACATGTCCGTGTGCACGAAGGCAATGGAGGATTAAGTCAAATATGAAATGCCTGGGCATTATGGGCAGGCGTGAGCAGTGGCATTGCTCCCGTCTGTCTGTGATCCCTTCTGTCTCGGATTCTGTGTGTGCTTACAGGGAGCAGGACGTTGTCTCATTGCTTCTGCCTGCAGCCTCCCTCTGAAAAAGTGGTCTCGTTGCGTGACTGAGGATGGACAGAACCTGTGGGACAGACTCCCCGCAAGCAGCATGGCAAAATATGTCTGTCTTTACTGCATCTTCCTTGATAGTGTTTATGCATCTTATTTTCTTTGGAGTATACATTTTTAATGAGATTTCTTATCTGTTCTAGATAGGGGGAAAAAAAAAAGCTTCCCCCCCTGATATTTTTCAGTCATTTTTATTATTCTTAAATATAATTTTTATATAAATATATTTGTGAACCTAGTCTTGATCTGAGTAAGGATAAATATTCTGAAAAGATGAAAACTTAAATTATCTGGGCTGAGTGATGACTGATACTTTTTGGTATTTCTTTACTCTGTTTTGGTTTTATCTATTAGTTGAAGTGTTTTCCTTTGTATCCGACTAGGAAACTAGGATTGCTTTAGTAAGCGTGTGTGTGTGTGCGTGGTGTTGGAAAATTACTACACACCTGCAAAAATATGAGGTTGTTTTGGAACTTGAAATTTGGTTCATTTGACTGTTTTTTAAAGTGCTTTTTCTAAAAGATAACTTAAAAACTAGACTTTATAAAATTGTAATTTATTTGTACTTCTTATTAATATGAAAATAATTTTGGGAACCTTATCTTGTATAACATGCACAATTGTAACAGTTTTGAAAAAAATAAGATAAAAATTATTAATATCTGTCAGGTGGTCATGTATACCTAACAGACTAGTTTATCACTGTTAAAATTATATTGACAGTTATTTGATTTCTTCCTGTTTTACTTCAAATATTTAAAACATTCTTGTAGTTATATACACCTAAAAGTCTATTTTTTAAAAAAGCCCTATTGTCAGTTAATTTAAAGTTATACTGAGGATGGATTAGGTGATCTAGCTGCAGGCAGGGGAGAATGGGATGGAGAAGACAAGAAACTACAGCTTTGATCAGTGATCAGTAGAAAATAAAGAAGTCAATTAAATAAGACACTGGGGTAAAGCAAATTCAAAGGAAGTTTCAGAACCTGGAGAAGAGTAAAAAAAACTATCTAGGTTTGGTGGGCTGGAAAAGGTAGTTACATGAACAATGTATGTGTTTTATCCATAACAATTTATTAATGATATTGTTTTCACCTTTTAACATCTAAAATATGCAAGGAATTTTTTTTTCCCTGCCTAGTTTGTTAAACTCATGTCAGAATTGTGACATTCTCCAGTTTCCCCATCTCACTAAAAAGCCAGAGTTGTGCCATGTCAGCACTTCATCATTTGCAGTTTCTTCTGTCTTGCACAAGTCTCAAGGAAACAAAAGTTATTTAAATAATTGTTCAAAATTAGCTGGTATATAAGGCTTGGTAAAGAACTTTGGGTTTAAAAAATGCAGTTTTCCTGAATTATGCCAGTAGCAGTTTCTGCCACCTAACATGGCAAATCCTCATGTTTCTCTAGTAACTGATACTCATTCAAAGCTGTTCAATGAAAATGTATCATATTCAGGGACAGAAATTATATATAAAAAGTCTCAAGGGGATGGCTGGCAGCACGTGTGAGAGCGTCCAGGTGGCTTTGGCTGGCAGAAAGCTTTTGGGCATTGAGATGGACTGTGGCAGATGATATCAGGGAAATTTGGCTAGATGGTAGTTGAACATACGTAGAGTAATCAGAAAGCTGCTGGGGAGTATTGGTTTGGAGTAGGCAGGTGCTGTTGGTGCCAGATGCCTTGGTTCATCAAAACAAAGGAAGTTTTGCTGCCCTGAAGAAGGGAATAAGGTAAAATTAGGTATGTAGGAAAAAATCTGAAAGAGAGAGCCCCCAGTCTCCTAGGCTCAAACCCAGGATATGTTTGTTTGAGAAAATGTTGGGACTCTGGGGAGATAAGAGCCACTCATTTACTAACCAGCAATTAAAACATGCATGGTAAGTGGTTAATTACTGTAAACAGTAGGATTCTTCATGCTTTAGCTTGTGTGATGCTGTCACATCCAATTGCACTTGTCTGCTGGACAATTTGTAGTGCAGACTGTTACTGGAAAACTTGTTTTGCAAGAGCTGTTTGCCTTCCAGGAGCAATCCCAGAGTTCATTGCTAGTTCCCTTGGTAATTTCACATCCTCTCATCTTCTTGAATATTGTTTACCATGCCTGCAGCAGCTACCCATAGTAACCTCTTACCAGATTCACTAGATGTGAATTCATTGCCATTTACACTATAGATTTGTTTGGTTTTCATTCAGCAGCATACTGCACATGTGGGTCAGGTGTATGCTGAGTACGTCTAGTACATGTCTACTAACGTACATTACTAGAACAAAAATTGTTTGTCAACAATTCTTAATACTTTCTGCCTTTTCTTGTGCTAAAACCACTTCTTAATTTTTATGAAAGTGGTATTGTAATGAGAAGAGAGACTGGTTTATGCAGTATTATATCTTTGACAATGTAAGGAAAGTTTGCATCTCTAATTGGGCAATAATACTTGAAAATAGCCTGGTTAATAATTCAAGTGACTTGCAAATTCAGATACAAACATTAAGTGATTTTTGCCTCAGATTCAGAAACTGCCTTCTGATACTGCAGTCATGCTGAACCCTTCGGACAGGAGCAGGTACACAAAAAAAAATGCTGATTTTTTTTTTTTTTTTTTTTTATTCCTTTGTGATGTCTCGAGAAAAATGGATTAATTTATCAAATAGCTTTTTAATGTTTCGAGGTAAAATGCCTAACAATATCAGGTTGATTTCTGAGAAATTATTCTCTATCTTACTGGTTCTATACCTTTCCAACTAGAACAGGGCAGGGGGCGATGAAAGATTGTTTTTTGTCCACCTGTCATTTCAAAACTAGATTTGCTCTTCTTTCTTACAATCTGCAGGAGTGGATGAGACTTAACCTCGCTGAAAGAATTATGCTTGTTTTTTGCTATGAACAGGCCAAGCTCTGATAACAGGCGCCACAGCATCCGGGAGAGGATGTCCAGTACCAACGATAAAGGGAGCCTGTCCATGGAGTCCACCAAGGAGACCCGGTACTGTGCTGTCTGCAACGACTACGCTTCAGGCTACCATTATGGGGTCTGGTCTTGTGAGGGCTGCAAAGCTTTTTTCAAAAGGAGTATTCAAGGTAATAAACTGTTCAAGTGAATCACTTTTACTCTTTACTCTTGAGGAAACTGCGAAGCTACTTCAGATTGCAGCCTGAGCTCAGGACAATGACATATATTGGGTTTTCATTAGCAGCTGCTGTGCTCTCTTATATATTTTTAGCTCTGTGTTTGGTGAATGCTTCTAGCAGGTATATAATATGCTGTTATTCAGTCCAAGATTAATGAGGGAAAGAAAAGCTTCTGTATGCTCTCTTTGGTTTAGGTATGTCTGACCATGGAGGCAGTGAGAAATCTAATTTAAAAATCCATATTGGATCAAGATGACCACTCTTTCAGACTATGTATATCTCTTTTTAAGATTAGTTCTTATCAAAACCATTTTTTTTTGATAATTCCCTGTCAGATGAAGATTAATTCATGTCGATTGATTTATTATTCTTAATATAGTGTTCCATTAGCAAAATGATTCAATCCAAATCTCAGCTCCTTGAAGATGTGAGATGTCTTTTGAGAAGCAGTGTTGAAAAGGAAGGTCTCCTTGATGAAGTAGCATTTGTATCTGTCAGCAAAGCAGGGCTTTGAACTATACTCAGAATTGTTTAGTTCTCAGTCTTGTCATGGCTACAACTATACTGCGCAAGGTGTCCAGTGGAGTAAAGGGCACCTAACAGAAACAATGTTAATTACTGTGACTGAGATAATTCTTGATTTAAATGCCTGTCAGTCAGTGGAATGGAAACTTTTTTGTGTTGTTCAACATCTCCTAAACTGAGTAAGAAGCAAGTATGACTCTACTGAAAATATGGGCACTGTTCAGTATCTAAGTCTTATTTTGGAGGAGAAAATAAAACAGATTTCTTCCTTTCCAAACAGAAAACTAGTAAAGTACTACGCTTTAGTTTTTTAAATCACCATGTGATATATAGGCACAAAAATTCCTGTCGCTCCTTTTTTGAAGCAAACACAGTGAGGAACAGTTTTCACCTCCTATCACACGGTGTGATTATTGCCTGTTTTGTTGCATGACTACCACTGAGGTGAGTTAAATAAGAAAGACTTCCAGCATTCAGCTCAGAATTTTCCCTGCCTTAAAGAAAAAAGTGAAAGATTGGCTGTGGGGTAGACATTGATGAAATTATTTGAATATCAGTGATTAGTTAATAGTTACTTGTATTTCTGCTTTTCCAGACTCATCAAAATGATTTTTAGAAAAGGTTACAGCCAGAGGTCAACAATAAGCAACACTGGAGGGAGAAAGAGTGAAATGCTTTTCTTTTAACATCAGAATGATTTACTTAAACTTGTGATGTAGGGAGAAAAGCTCCCTTACTGAGCGTTTTTCGTTATTTTTTGTTTTGAGTTCCCCTGACCAAATCAGAATTATTCTTAAAATTTTGAAATTCTGTCCTTGTACTCATACTGAACTAAGTCAGCAACAAAGTGAAAACTGAAATATTCTTAAGCAAAAGTAAGAGTTAGTTATCAACTAGTTGTACAGCACAGATCTTCAGCTTTTGACCATTATGGAGAAAGAAATGAATCTGACTGTTTCATTGAGTTCCATGGTTCTATGTCAGCGATTGGGTGGTTTTGCCCTCGTCTCCATGCAGACAAATGTTGTGGTCCTCCACAATGTATCTGTTATCCATTTGTGCTACAGTACATGCTAATTATTAAATTTAGTTCTTACTACATTTATATACTTAACATAATTTTTAAGTAAGTAAGCCTTAAAAATTAAAAAGCTTAAGTTTCCAGTGTCCTGTAAAATGCCTTTCTTTAAGTCATGTTTGCTCTAATTTAAGCCAATTGCTTCTTGCCCTATCCCTTGTGGGCATGAAGAAGGCTTGTTACAACAACCTTTTACACAGTTGAAGACTGTTATCATATCTTTCCTCAGTCTTTTCTTTTTTAGACTAAACAAACCCACTTCTTTCAGTAGAACATGTTTTCTAGACTTCTGATCCTGTTTGTTAAACTCGTCTGTACTTTCTTCAGCTGTGGTTAACAGCTATCATAAAAGATGACATCCACTAATATCAAGAAAGTAATTCAAGAATATGAGTACTTTTGAGACAATTGTGATCACTTTATCACAGATGGTATGAAAAGTCCTCTAAAGAACTTTTAAAGTCATAGGTACCCACTCTTGATGAACTAAAGGATTTTTTAAATTTCCTACTGGATCTGGAAAAGATCTTTACCTCAGCATTTACATGTTCTCGTTAGACATGTATCCAATTTACGAAAATGACAGTAAATTTTAGATTGAGAATACATGAGAAAACATGCCATTTACATTGCAGATGGTAATAATTTTAAATAGGTTGTGATCAGATATCTAGGAATGAATACTACTAATGTGTAGGTGTATGTGTAGAAGAATATGTGGACTAAATATTATTATATCTGTATTGTATATATGATATGCATTCCTAAAAAATGGACAAAAATTTCCTGGGAATCATGTAGTTAAACTGTGTTGAGGTACACAGGACTTGCCTGTATTAACAAAGTAACACAGAATGCTTTCAGCAAAGATTTTTGTTGCTGCTTATAGTGTGTCTTTAAATGTTTTGCTGTTCTGTATTTCTCAGTATGTACATAGATGCAGAGATGATTGGTCGTTTTTAGACTTCTCACCAGAGATTTCATAGCAGAATTGCTATAGTGAAGTTTGATGTTCTTAATGGACTGTAGTCAAACATTCTATATGGTTCTTAATAGAACCACAGGAAAAAGTGAGCACAGACATGACCAATGAATGATCTGTATGGGGTAATCCATTTCCTCCCTGTGTATCTGTTATCCTCAGTGATATCTGAGATATCTATGCTTACTTGCATAAGTATATATTTAAATTTTGTGAAAACTCACATCTGCATTGGACCTTACCCGAGGTGGAGATGGATAGCTTTATTTTTTCCCAGGGGAGCTGGAATGGTTCTGGAAATATTTTGTAAATTTTAAATGCTAAGTTCCTTTTCTTTGCTGTCAAACAGTTAAAACTTAAAAGGCAACCTAAATTAGTAACTGTATCTCAGTATGTCCAACTGCTCAATTTTGTTTAAACAACAGGCGGTTGGTGGAAAATCTCAACTGCCTCCTGAAACTTCCCATGTCAGTCTATTTTGTTAGTTTTTGTCCCAAAAGTGATTTGGGACCTTGTTTTGAGAAAACTCTGTGCAGACTGATATTAATGCCTAATGTTTCATGGGAGAGGAAAATCATATGACACCAAGAACACTGTGTTGCCTGGTGATAGAAGAGTGCTTTATTCTTCGCCCAGCATATGTAACCTTCAAGAGCGTACTTGGTCAACTGACTTGAATCCATAAGCATAACAAGCAGTCACATCACAGCATTCTCTACTTCTCTACTAAAATATTTATGGATTTTGAGACCAAGAAGGGCCATTAGATCATTAAGTCTGATCTTCTCTCAAGATAAACTTTATATGCTATCTATGTACAAAGCCCGATAAGTTGATGGAGGTAAATCTTTTTGAAGATGCCCAGCCTTGATCTGTGGGCTCAAGAGCTTTCTTAACATGATTGTTTATTCTAACGGTTTTTCCTCCCATCTGCTAAAAAATTACCTTTCTAACTTGAATTACTTTGGCTTTTAAGTCACATCCACGAACCAGACTTAGTATCTATTATCTCTCTCCTGTGGGAAGTTCTTATAACTTAAGTTGTTACAATCAAATCATCTTGATACTTGAAGTGAACTAAAATGTTTCAGTCTCCTGCTGTGTATATTTCCGAGTCCTTTTTCTTTGCACCTTTTTCTAGTTCCCCGACACCCATAATAGCCTCTTTAAAATTTAGATGTCAGAATTGGATGAAATATTTCAACATCAGCCTTACAAATGCCATTTACAGGTTAAAAATCCCCTTGTGACTCACACATTCTTTTCCTCTCCTTCTAATTCTCTTGTTTTTTTGGATAGCCACCAAAGGGTATAGGACAGGAAGGAATTGCTCTTACCATCTCTGGCAAGCATCCAACAAATGCCTACATATGGGGGGCTGAGAACCCCCAATGGGAGCACAAGGGATTTAGAACAAATGAGGGGTAACTCCTTACACTGGAGGGTATCTTGATCTCAGAATTGCTGAAGTATTTTAGAACTCCCCATTTCTATTTCCCTGCCTCCTTCATATACCCTTCTGATGTTTTTCAGGTGCACCTTCTCTGCCTTTTCTCACAGCTGTATACTCAGAAAAAAATCTGGGATATTTCACAAATATTCAGTTAAGAATTACTGCATGATGGGAGGCAGTACCAGTCCAGCAAGAGCTGGCTGGCATCTGAGAATGGATGAATAGCCATGCTGAGGGATTCCAGAGGCCTGCCATTAAGGTCTTGATCACAGAGATATCGTCGTCTCTGAAGTGCAGGAATTCTTGAAGCTGGGAAGTATTTTAGTTGTGTGGCTTGAACATGGATTTTATTTAATAGTTATGCCTTCTGACCATCAAGTAGGAGAGTTTTGGCAGTAGACTTTGAGTGTTATCAATTGTTTTAACTTCACAGCGGTAGAGCTGTACTTTGTTGAAAGTATGTAGTTCAAACTTTAATGCTAGGAGTGGTGGTAATATATACATATTTTTGTCTGAGTTGGAGAGAAATTAACTGGTAAAACATGCCTAATAAGTGGGTGTTTAGGTAATGCTGCAGTGCAGCAATTGCAATATAGTCGATCTGGGAGGTTTCTGAGATCTTCCCTTTAACTTTCCATTATTTCTTCTGTTTTCATGGTATTTTTGTAATCTGTTTGATAACAGCTGCAAATGCTGCACAGATTCTGCAGCCAAGAAAACAGAAACTCCCTAATAAGACTGCTTGTACACTTATTCTATGAGTTGTCAGCAGAAAGAGCAAAACTACAAAACATGAACCTAAGTAAGACTAGCAGAGGCGATCACAGCCAATAAACAGGGGCCTGCAGACCGGTATATAGTCTCAGGGCAGAAAACACATGGTTCCAGTTTGAGAGGTAGCTGACTGTTGG